TTCAAGCGATTTTACCTGATTACTTAGCTGGGAAATGGTTGCTTCTGATGAGCTGGTCTGTGCTTGTTAAGGATTGAATGCTGGTCTTTGTTGGAAGTTTCCTCCTCCATAGTTTCCACCTTGAAACTTGTTTTGAAAACAACTTTGTTGCTGTTGATAGGGCTGATTTTCGGCTCCTTGATTTCTGTATGAGAGATTGTTGAAGTTGGCACCAGAGTTCCTAAAGTTGTTGTTGAAAGCTGGACTAAATCGATTATGATATGCCTGGGCTCCCATAAAATTGATTTCTTCCTCTTGGTACATGCCATCTTCTTCATATCTTCCATCTTCCTCATTTCCTACAGCAATATCACAAGCAGGTATATTCTTGTTTTGAGACTTAAGAAGTTGACTTACCATGCTTTTTAGCTCAGAAATCTCCCTTGATTCATGACTAGTAATAGTCTTCTTTGATCTGTCATATTCAGGGTTGTTGTTGCAGTTAGCTACAGCCAGATTTTCGATGACTGCTCTCCCTTGTGGTATGGTTTTTGAACTGAAATCTCCATTGCTGGCAGTATCAAGAGAAAGTTGATACTTCTGCTGAAGTCCTCTGTAGAAGGTGCTTAGCAGATTTGCTCCAGAGAAACCATGATGAGGGCAGTCTCTCTCATACTCCTGAATCGCTCCCAGGCTTCATAGAATGATTCTATTGGGCCTTGTTGGAAACTTTGTATCTTGTTTCTCAGCTGGTTCGATCTCGACTTGGTGTAGAAGTGGTTCAGGAAAGCTGACTTGCATTCTTCCCATGAAGTAATAGAACCAGATGGCATAGATTTCAATCATCTAAAAGCTTTATCACTTAGAGAGAAAGGAAAAAGCTTACACTTCACATAGTCCACAGTTTCTGGAGTTGTTCTCACCATTCCAGAGATTTCTTCAAAAAGATCAATGTGGTCCATTGGATGCTCAGTAGAGATTCCATGGAATTGGTTCTGCTTCACCAAAGAGACAATCTGAGGTTTTATCTCATGATTTTCTCTTGGAATAGGAATTTGAATAGCTGATCGATTTTGAAAGTGTTGGTGAGGTGCATCAAAATCGGCAATGAGTCTATTCCGAGGCTGTCTTCTCGCAGGATTTGCAAGCTGTATTGGGCGATTTGCTTCTCTAACAACCGGTGGATCAATGTTTTCATCGTTCCTTCTTCCTTCAGCATCGGCCTCGTCTTGTCTCCTTTGATTTTCAGCGATTTGAGCAGGATTTAGAGGAAATTGGTTTCCCTCTTCATCGAGTTGTGGCTGTCCATCTTCTTGATGAGCAGCATCTAGGTCTTCACCATGAACTGAATCACGGTCATCATCTCCAATGTGATCCTCCTGATCACGGTTTAAAAGATTTTCCCGATGGGCATTAGGATTGGCCATCTTAAGCGTTCTTCGTCTGAGTTTCCTAAGTGCTCTTTCGTGTTTGTCAATCTCGTCTAAGGGCAATACGATTTTGTCAGGATCTCTCCTAGTTTTCATGCACCTGTGAGCAAAGAAAGCAAATATAAAAAGAGAAGTTAGAAAATCTCCAGCCGAACTCGAAAATCTTGAGGTTTAGGATTGAAATTAGATTAAGAAGTCAAGTCAACAGCGACAGATCCCCAGCAACGGCGCCAAAAACTTGGTGTGAGTGCAGTGGGCAACACAAGTTTTACCCTAGACAAGCTGCAAGTGCACAGCAAACACAGTAGTACTTAGGGATCGAATCCACAGAGATCTGTGTGTTGAGGACTTCTAACTGATGCTAAAAACAATCGTAAACCTAATCTAATAAAAAAAAAAGGTTTTGGTTTGTCATTAAATCTAATTATGCAGAGAATTAAAAAGAGCTTTGAGTAAAAATCGGTTGAAAAACAGTAAGGAAAAAGCGCTGGTTTCAAGGTTCATCTTTAGGGTTCATGTTCTAAACACAAGGATTTTAGGCAAGGATTTTCTATGACTCTGAAACTAGGATAGACACATGTAAGATTAGCCAACTCTCGTCCCCCTAATCATCTAATCACTTGTTCATGGCAATTAACTCTTGCTCTCATGCCAGAACAAGATCATGCTTTGTAGATCGGAATCCATCTCTGCTTACGTATCCTCCGTAGGTAGCTATCGTCTCCTACGACGGGGACATCCATAAGATCCAGTTCAGGCAACCCAGATACAACACTCTCGTGCCTTGGATTAAACCTAGGATCGGATTCTGGGTGATCAATCCAGAATTACCACTTTGAGATTTGGATGAATGGGAGAATCATGTTTAAAAATTGAAATCCGTTTTCCTAAAAACCTAGATTTCATTCGAACATGGGGCCCTTTCAACTAGGTGACTACTCAGACATGGCTGAGGTAGACATCATCATCGGTTTAGAACTAAGAAGAAGAAAAAGTAAAAGAAACAAAGTTGCAGAAAAACTTCTCTTATTGAAGACAGAATGGCGATGGAGAGCTTCTACAAGTGCATAAAAATAAAACCTAAAACTACAAATGAGTTCTCTCTCAAAGAGAAGAAAGAGGCTCCTCTTACAAAAGACCTAAAAATGAGTATTTATAGTGTTTCTGCAAGTCTTGGGCGTCTAGGGCTTGTAAAATGGGTGCAGGAAGTGTCTTGGAACTTAGTTGGGCTCCTGAGGTTTGGAAATACGTCCACCGGGGGGTGAAAACTCCTGAGCCGCGGTGGGAAGAAGGCTGGCCGCGGGTGAAAGCACTTGTGCTTGACTGGGCTTGTGTTGATCGGCCTTCAGTGCATTGATGATATCTTGAGATCTAACCACTGGATTGCTTTGATTCCAAAAATTGTTGGAAAGCTGGTTGTATCCTCTATAATGTCTCCAAATTTGGGGATGATCAGACGGTCAGAAGGTTTTCATTGGTTGCCAAACTTTTGACGGCCTGAATTTATCCAAAAATGTACTTTTGCTCCAAAATGCACCTGCATAAGATGGAAAACACTTATAAAATATTTAAAACTCCAAAACATGGAAAACACTTATAAAATATTTAAAACTGAGTAAAAACACTTGCATAAGATATTGAAAGTGATCCATAAAAGTGGTCAAAATCAGGTGTTATCACATACCAACTAGACTTACCATACACTTTGAAGATCCACCCAGTGTTCCATGTGAGCCTGCTGAAACCTTACACCAGGATGAAGAGGATCAAAGTCGGAAGGTTTGAAGGAGAGCACCACCAGTTGTGACTAAGTCTTATTCCAAGGAGATAGATGAAGTGCTCAGTAAGAAGAAAGTAAGGAAGCGAGGTATTTCACGCCAAACCCATTTCCTGATCAAGTGGAAGGATCTACCCAAGTCCGAAGCACCGTGGGAGCTTGAAGAATACTTGTTGCAGATCCACGACAAGCTGGCTGAGTACACGGCGACGAGGTCGTCACCGAAATAGGTGGGGGAGGATGTCACAGTCTAATTTAAGCCCAAATGTTTACCTGATTAATTTAAGCCCAACTAAAAACAAGGGATTAAATAATTAGTTGGTAGTTGAGACAATATAATAAATTTGATAGTTGGAAAATATAATATATAGGATAATTGGTAGGTGGAATGATCTAGAAAAAGGAACTTGTATAAATAGGGTAAAACCTCATTTGTAATCATCGAAGCATTTATTCAAGCAATTCAAGTTCATTTTCCACTTTCTCTCTCTAAAATCTCGTGAGTTTCTCTCTAAACACCAATGTTCAAATTTGGATGAGGATGACTTAACTTCTGTAGGAGGAGTTAATAACATTGTATTTTGACCACTTTTGTGAATCAATTTTAAATGCTTTTCAAATAGTTTTTATTTCTTTTAAGTGTTTTTACTATTATTTTATAGTATTTGTAGTTCCAAGACTCTTTTCAGGTAATTAAGACAAAAGGTGTGCATTTTGGAGCAAAAGATCATTTTGGATAAATTCAGGCCATCAGAAGTTTCACATCTGATGAACACCTTCTCACCGTCAGTTCTACCCCAAAATTGGACCTAATATAAAGCAGACAACTAGCTTTAAAATAAAATTGGTTTGGAGACAATCAAATGGTTAGATCTCCAGATATCCTTGATTCACTGAAGACATGTTTTTCAGTCTCGCGAAGGAAGCAAGTGAAGAATGAAGATTCAACCTCACAAGCCAATCTCCGCGGGTCCAGGCTCCACGACCGTGGAGAACACACTCTCGACCACGGTTACGAATATCTGGCTGCGGGCAAACCCTCATTCACCACGGATAGAAGCCTCGCAGCTAGGGCCGACTAAAAGGCTGGCCCGTGACCCTGTTTCAAGCCCAATTCGTCTTCTCTTCAAAGAAAACCCTAAGGATGACTGGATAGAGTTGAAGACCTATAAATATGTATCTAAGAAGACCTATTATCGTGTACCTCAGAAGAATCCCTTTTGGGAGCCACCAAATTTAGTTTTTAAGGGTTTTTATGTTTTTATGTTCTTAGTTCTTAGTTTAGGGAGATAGAGATTTCTCTTGAACCCTCTTTATGTTCTACCTTTACTTTAATTCGGTTTTTACTCTTATGCATCTTTCAATTTTGTTTTTATCTTCTTCATATTAGATTAGTTGTTTAAAGGATTTGAAGAGAAGTTATATATCTCTGAGCCGAGCTCTCGAAATCGAGATGCCACTACAAGAAAAACGAGTATTGATAGCACATTAACATAGCATGATTTCTATAACTGCTATTAAAGAGGATATTTCGGATTTGGATATTCTATTATAGCATTTTAAACATGTTATACCGAAATTTCATTAAGCGGGAACAAAAAATTAACATTTGGAACCTAAATTCTGTGATGAGCGCCAGTACTTAGGCAAAAAGAGAAAAAAATACTAAGTATCCCAATTATGACTCTTCTTTTTATATTGTTCGGAGAAGAACAAAAACAAGTTCTTTGGAAAAAAAAAATTATCTTTCGAGAAAGCAGCTCGTTGTCCCTCCATCTCCGATTTCCCCCTCCACCGTCTCTGGCGTTATGGCTGAACCATCTCACCACATCCTCCTTCCTCGCCTTCTTCTCAGCCTCCTTCTCCACCTCCCGTTCCCCCCGACCCAGCTAACCTAAACCCTAACTCATCTCCGATTGAACCCACCTCTCTCAATTCGCCGCCGCCGCTTCCACCTCCATCCTCCATAAAGGGTATTGAAACAACTCACCCCTTTTTTTGCCTCTCCTATTCTCAAGAGCTGATTAGGGTTAACTGTAGATTTTGGGTTAGGGTTACTGGACGGCTATGACGAGTTTCCTCTCATGAGCTTTCTTCGATCCTGTTCAAGAGGTATGGTTCTCAACACTTTGTGGGCTTTTGACATTGGGATTCTTAAATTATTCAAACCGAAACTTATACCGAGGATTTCGAGACAGACCACCCAATATTCAGCCTAAGGCAAATTCTTAAAACCTTCATTATGATGGCCAGTTGTTGTATTTCTCGCTAATAGCCTAATAATATGCATTATTTTCATTTTTCTTTGTTGGTGTTGAACACAAAGCGTTGGCAGTTGATTCAAGTGCGAGATTTATTCTTAAATGATCGCCTAACAGATCTTTTTAGTAGCTTGCAGAGAATAAACTACTCAACATCAACTCCTTCGAAGTCCCTTGCGACAATATTATAGGACGTTTGGGTTTAATTAGGGCAGGATTCATTAGTTAGAAGCTTTTAATCTCTGGATTCAAAGTAGTGATACATAGATTGTTTAAAGCTATTTGATTTCAGTGTATAAGCGAGCAAAAGCATAGAGATTTAGTGTTTATACACATATATGAGGGTTTGATAGAAAAGCTTTTTTGATATTGGTTTGGCTTTGTAGGGACTATTTGAAGATCTCAAAGCTGACAGGACAGAAGACGACCAGGTTAGGCTGTTCCGGCCTGACGAAAACGCTCTTAGTATGCAAACATGTGCTGATAGGCTTTGTATGACACCACCTTCTGTGGAGCGATTCATCGAAGCAGTTAAGAAAACTGTACGTGCCATCAAGAAATGGGTATGGACTATGGACCAATGTGTATCTCTATTCCAATCGATATGATTCTTGATCATAGTTTGCTCTCATCTCTAGAAGCTCCTCACGGGTTTTATGGCTTTAATTTTTTTTTGTGTTTTAGGTTCCTCCGGGTAAAGGAGTTTTGTATACAAGGCCTCGGCTAATAGAGCGTGGCGCTATCCTTGGAGCAGCTCCAGCACCTGGTACACGTTCCTCATTTACGCATCTCCCGTAGGAGATTACCATAAGGTGAGTTAGTGTTCTGCTGTTTTATATACTTGGTGAAATAAACTCTGCCGAAAGACTCTCTAAAGCTGAAATGGTAACGCCAGTGTTTCTTTGTTGTAGGTAAGCACAGGCCTGAACTTTAAAGTTGATCATAAGTATCGCCGAGCCCATTCACTTGTTTTCAGAAGCATGGATGCTTATTACTTTTGTTTCCATGAGATGCAGGTCACTTTAACACTTTTGTTGGAGATCGGTCTGCTTATGTGTTCAGTTAGATTCTGATTTTGCTTGTGTATTGGATTAGGTGATCTGGTGAAGATTCTTTTGAGACTGCAAAGAGTTGACGTTTCTTCTTCTCCTTAATCTCATTAGCTTTTGGTTTAAGTTCTTATTCCTTTTCTCTGTTCTTGAGAGTTTATTAATTTTCTGAATTTTTTTTTTGCAGAAAAGAAGAATGGTTGCAATATTTTGACCACGTTTAAGCAAAACGAGAGACTTGAATCAGTTTCAGTTACATCTCATCATTACAGGTTTGATTTCTTGGTCCTTTACATGAATAATACTTTGTTTAACACTCTTAGGACGATTATTATTTGCACAGTTCATCAAAACAGGTTTTGGTTACAATAAACTTTTCTCTAGAACAATTGGAACATGTTTTGGATACAAGATCAAATATGGTGGAGTTTTATATTGGACAAAAACAGAAGAGGGCAACAACTGCTGCAAAAACCGGTTGCAAGATGATCAGATCTTTTTGAGGTAATTTGTTCATTTGGATTTTGGTGCAATTCTGAAATTATACCTTTTGCTTGATGACTTTGGAGAATTTACGTAAGCACAGATTCCCTATACATCAATATATGGTTTTGGGTTTGTTGCAGTTACTGTGTGTGTTTGTTGCTTGAAACTGCAACTTATGGCATTGATTCTCTCCCAGGCTAGGCAAGCTCTTCTCACTCAAAGAATTGCTTCAGCACTTCAAGCAGCCATGATGTTAAGACCACGTTTTGTAAGACATTTGGTATGATGTTTAAGACTTGATGTTTTGTAAGACTTGTTTTTAATATGATGTTTGTCCTTGTGATGTTTTGTGTAAGACATGTTTGGATGTTTAATAAAAATAAGAGTGTTTTAAATGCAAACGCTGGTTTCTTTATAGTTTTGGAAAACAGGTTTCTAAAAATAATTTTGCAAAACTACAGGTCGTAATAAAAAAAAAATACTAGAACACGTTATACAATAGCCCGAGAAAAGTATTATAAAACAATATACTATAGCCTAGAAAAAGGGCTACAATACGTTATACCGTAGCCAAAAAAAAACTACAAGAGATTAGTCTATAGCAACAAAACCGAGCTACAAAAGTCCATATTATAGCATGCAAATAGTGCTACTAGACGACATAGAACAGCGTCTAAAATGAGCTACTATATCGTCAATAACAACACAATTTCAATGCTATAATAAAAGTACATATTATAGCACAATCCTAAAACGCTATTGTATAGGGGTCACCCTATTATAGCTCCGGGGATCACAGCGTTCATCGAAACGCTATTAAATCGATATGATAGCGCTAATCGTGAGCTAACAATGTACATCTTTTTTGTAGTGTGCTTCTTCTTCATCTCTTTGTCTCTTTTTCTTTACTTCTTTCTTCTTACTACTTTATGCACGTCTTCTCTTATTAATTTATGCACGTTTTTGAATGATGAGGTATGAGTTTAAAGGCTCGATCGAAGGGAATCGACTATGTTCGGTAGGGATCTTCGCGAGATAAACCAAAGCCGAATTCTAGAAATCTTTTAAAATTATACTTAAAGCATGGATGTAGCGTCGCGAACTAGAGACTGATCTTGGTCTTGGGTGTTGCGAAAGTTTTCATTCGGGGTCAGATCTAGTTTGAAAAGAGCAGATCGACCATAGGAGTGGAAACCTACCTATGGGAGAGCTGTGAATATTGATGAGTCTTAAGCTTACTACATCTTTTCTCTTCTAGGGCCAGAGTGGAAACCTACTGGTCAAGGTTGAGAGAGATAATTGGTTATGATCACGACAGTGGCGTATTCATACGTTCGTGACTCGAGTTCTAAGAATTTACTAGGATCGATATTAAGAGCTTTGTTCATCCTTTAGACTTATTATCGATTTATTCACTTCTAGTTTTAAAACCCTTTTTAAAATCCTTTTTAAAAACCCTCTTTAAAACCTTTTTTTTAAACCCTCTTTAAAACCCTTTTTAAAAACCTTTTCAAACCCTTTTTTAAAACCTACTGGTCAAGGTTGAGAGAGATAATTGGTTATGAACACGACAGTGGCGTATTCATACGTTCGTGACTCGAGTTCTAAGAATTTACTAGGATCGATATTAAGAGCTTTGTTCATTCTTTAGAGTTATTATCGATTTATTCACTTCTAGTTTTAAAACCCTTTTTAAAATCCTTTTTAAAAACCCTCTTTAAAACCTTTTTTTTAAACCCTCTCTAAAACCCTTTTTAAAAACCTTTTCAAACCCCTTTTTAAAACCCTTTTAAAATCCTTTTTCAAAATACATATATAGAAATTGTGACAATCTATCCAAAATCCTGTTTTTCGTCTTAGACTTTGTTTACTAATTCTGGTTCGAAGGTTCTGTAGGTAAAGTGTGGATTCTCTGTGGATCGATACCCTAAATACTACAACGCACTACTGTGCACTTGCAGATATTTAGGGTTATAAATTTAAAACATGAAGCTGTGAAGTCAACCCTAGCAGCATCAGTACGAGCTAAGGTCACACGGTTTGATTTAGGAGGAATCAGCCCATGATACTAAGCAATGATAATATTTCACCATATTTTTTTATTTGTATAACCTTTGCTAATTCTTTTTTTTCCTAATATCCTTCTAATTTATATTAAACTAGATAACTATTTTTGTATATGCAGATTTATAATTTAATATATTATAAACTGTGAAAAATAAAATAAAAAATAGAAAATAAAATTAGGTTTTCGTGAAAGTAACCTAATACATAAATTTAGAAATAAAATATCTGATAAAATAAATATATACCTTCAATAGATTTTGGTGAAGCAAATACAGTAAATAGTTTTAGATATAGTTATTGGATTTTTCATTTTTTTTTGGTGTGAAATTAATATAGTACCAAATATGGTTTATATGCGAATATGATTGGATAATGAAAATTTGAATGTATTGATGATATAATATATGGAATGATATAATAATGTGAAGTATATTGATGTAATATATATATATATAATATATACACTGAAAAATTCATATTGTGCATAGGAAAAATAGACCATAGTATAGGTAATGTATATTATTGGATGATTTGATATTTAGAAAAAAAAAGTAAGTTTTTATCATACGTATAACCTAACCGATTATGAAAGTTTCTGAATGTTTTCCATGAAATGTTTATATACTTTCAACATGTCACACACCACATTTGTCTCAACTCCAACTTAGCTCTAGACTTAAACTTGTCTTTCCTTTATTCTTGTTCTTGTAAATAGCTTTTGAGAATCGAAATATTAAGTCTAATTTGCTCCGTAAAAACTTTGTCCAAATCGTTTAGGAATCCTAAGCAACAAATTATTATTTATTGCTCAATTATCTATCTATTCTTCTTTACTTAAAGATTAGCCAAAACAACTCAATTTTCACCATTTACAAATTTTGACGGTTGTCTTTCTAGCTATAATAATTATCATACACATATGAGGTAGAATCTATACCATTATTTGTGAAGTGATTTGCTGATGTGTCGGCTTCCGAGCGAATTACATAACGTTTGTTTACTTGTCATTATTTAAAAGAGTTTCGTGTCAAAATTCAGTTAAAATTAAGTAATTTTTTTCCCAAACGAACTGAAGTTTACGTGTCCAATTGACTAAAACAGAGTCGACTTTATTTAAAATGAATCAAAATCGAAATAGTGTCCAATTTACATAAAACTGCATGGTTTGATCTCCTTGGTTTTGATTAACTATCAAACTGCATAAGCTGTGAAGATTTTTGACCTGGTTTTTGAACGTACTGTCCAATTTATTTAAAACCACATGGTTTGTTCTCCTTGATTTTGAATAAAGATCAAACTGCATGTACCCTAAAGATTTTTGACCCGGTTTTTTTTATCATGTTATCTCGTTTAACCCAATAATATAATGATCATGTGCTCTAATTATTTTTGATCCAGTTGTTGATCACATTATCCTAGTTTAACCCTGTAATAAAACTTGACAAAACCCTAATCGTTTTCTTTCTATATGGCTCTACTTATCCGGTTGTTGATCACATTGTCCTAGTTTAACCCTAAAGATTTTCGATCCACTTGTTGATCACATTGTCCCAGTTTAACCCTAAACTTGACAAATGGCTTGTGGTCCTCACGTTATAGTTGGTTGTGAATCTTGTGATAAATCTTAATCACTTGTGCTATAATTAGCCTTTGTCGTCTCTTATTTTCATCATTCGGTAATCGCTATAGTGCAATATTGAATTTCTATTTCCTTTTTCATTGTTTTTCTGTGATTTTGTTTCTGTTTCTATATCTAAACGATGCTTCTCATATGCATGTACATGGATGTAGTTTTCATTTTCCTTTTCATATCGTCTACTCTTGGAGTTTTCATCTGAACTGAACGGTATGCTTCTAGTTCATGTACATGCATATGAGAAAACAAACTTGATGAATCACACGGGGGAGCATGTATTGGTTGTTTGCTTCGAAAGTGTATATGAGATTTTATGTATTAGGTATGGTGAAAGATTGCCTTAGTAAATGGCTCACTCAAACTTATATAAATAGATCACATAAATAATTTGTGACTATATCTTGATTTTAAATTTATTTTTCCATACAGAACTTAATATAAATTAATAAATGAAATATTATTTAAATTTTAACATCTTACTTATTAAACATTTATAGCCTGCTCAGCCTGCTCACGGTGCAGACCCACTAGTTGATAGATTTGTATAGTTCATATGAAACATTTAAAAATCTGAAAGTAGCCCCATTTGCGAGAAAGACAACCAATAAAGCCCAATTTTGGTATAGTAAATCGAATTGTTTCTTGGCATCCATCCGTTAGATATTTTTGCGATCTATTAAATTTTAAGCGAAATAAGAAAACATAGAGAAAACAAAATTTATCTAAAACGAGAAGTCAACATTCGGATATATGGTATAAAGAGTCAAATTTATTATTGGAAAACCTTAGCAAAGATTCTCTGTTCTATTAAATCTCTCAACCTTACGGGGGTTTTCATGGCGGTTTTATAACGGAAAAAACAGCGTTCTCACATCTTATTCTGAGGTTGTCTTTGTCGTTCTTGTTTCATCGTAAAACATCTCCCCTTATCTGATATTAAGAACGGAATATAATCATCTTTTAAGTCCTGCAGATTGAAAAGTAAAACAAGGAATTTATAACCTATTTCTAGTTTTGTTAAGAACCTGGAAAACTAGGATAAATCGCAATAGAGATCCTACAAAACTAAGTTTTAGCTTTAGATTTTGGATTTTGTAGAAATGAGTTGTTTCATGGGGTCATCCACACTAAACAAAAGTACAGAGAACGAAGGAGCATCGATCGCTGCCTCTTATGAACCGAACCCGCCGTGTAAGCTCTTGTTATAAAAACTCCTGAAAATGGGTCAGCTCGTTGCGTAATTTCATCAACCTTTTCCAAATTTGTTAACAGGGAATGATGGGAGACAGATAACAATATGGGAAGCGGTGGCACGTAACAAAGAATCACCAAACAATATCGAGGCAAAGTGTTTCACATTCCGTGAATTAGCAGCCGCGACGAATAGTTTCAGGCAGGAGTTCTTGATTGGGGAAGGAGGGTTCGGGAGAGTTTATAAAGGAAAGCTGGAGAAGACAGGACAGGTAAAAAGAAAGTATGAAACATAGAGCTGTTTGATTAACAAAAGGATTTTGTCTGAAGAAACAAAGACAAGAGATCTTACATATTCTTGTTGATTGGTTAGGTGGTGGCTGTGAAGCAACTTGATCGGAATGGTTTACAAGGGAACAGAGAGTTTCTGGTAGATATCTTCGTGTTAAGTACTCTTCATCATCCCAATCTTGTCAATCTTATTGGATACTGCCTTGACGGAGACCAAAGACTTCTTGTTTATGAGTTTATGCCTCTTGGTTCCCTTGAAGATCATCTTCTAGGTATATTCTTGTCAATCCCTTGACCGGTTTCATTTGTTCGCTATATATATAAAAATCGGATTGAACCGGCTGTTTTATGATCTAATTGAACCAGATGTTGCACCGGAACAAGAACCATTGGATTGGAACAGTCGGATATTGATAGCCTTTGGAGCTGCAAAAGGACTCGAGTATTTACACGAAAAAGCTAACCCTCCGGTGATTTATCGAGATTTTAGATCGTCAAATATTTTACTCAACGGCGATTTCGATGCAAAACTGTCAGATTTCGGTTTGGCAAAACTTGGTTCGGTTGGAGATACACAAAATGCATCTTCCCGAGTTATGGGAACCTACGGTTATTGCGCTCCCGAGTATCAGAAAACCGGTCAGCTCACGGTTAAATCTGATGTATATAGTTTTGGAGTCGTTCTGTTGGAACTCATAACGGGTAGACGAGTTATCGATACAACGAGACCGAGTAATGAACAAAATCTGGTTACTTGGGTAACTCTCTTTAACTTCAAAATTCATTTTCATATATTTAAAATGTTAGGTAAAATTGAAGCTTCTTGATTCCGCCTGGACCAACAATAACTATTCAAACCTAACCGGTTTAGTTTTTCTTGCATTTTATTTTAACTTTAGCATCTATAATTGTGGTTTAGGCACAACCAATTTTCAAGGAACCGAATAGATTCCCGGAGCTAGCGGATCCACTTCTTCGAGGCAAGTTTCCTGAAAAAAGTCTAAACCAAGCCGTAGCAATAGCGGCAATGTGTCTACATGAAGAACCAATAGTTCGACCAATAATCCGCGATGTCGTTACCGCCTTAAGTTTTATGAGTACAGAAACCGGTTCGCCTTCCGGTTTAACCGGTACCATCCTTAATTTTCAACCTTCGTCTGGTAAGACTCACACCGTGGAGGACCTGCTTCAATATGAATCAGCTCCAAGAGATGTGAACTTGTTACGATAAAGCCTTTTACAAAACGATTGCAAAGTAATTTATCGTTTTTACAAAACTATTCACACCACGATACGATTTTTTTTGGACGGAGTTGCTCGGGCTCCGCGTTTCAAGTTCGTTATCCTAACCGTCCGAGTGGCGGAGGCAGAACATTTTGTTTACTGGGGCTAAAAATTCATGTTGTCCAAATAATTATGGGGACAGAAAAAAATGATGAGTGGGAGCATCTATTAATGTATTAATAATTTGCATTAATCTAACAAATTTGACTGGGGGCAGTTACCCCCATTTTGGATTAAGTAACTCCGCCATCATGTTCTCTATATTAACAAATTGAATAATTTTCTGTTGCGATATGATATCCTTATGTAGTTTGATAAATCTATCTCCAGTCAGCATATTGGTTTACACCTTGGGATGGTATAGATCATTTTTGGATTTAGTATGTATACAGTTATTTGCAAATATCAATATATAGGCGATAAATCTAATATAATAAGGTTTATGACAGTATCATAGCTCTAAAACACATGATTAGAAGCTTCTACCTCGTTTTTTCTGTTAAATTCTTTAAATTATTAATATTTTGTCGATTCTCAGAATGGTGAATACTCATATCGGTTCAAACATCTATGAATCTGGCAAAATCAAACTCAATAGAAATAGACCAATATGATTTGGTTTCTATATAAAGTTGGATTCCTCAAAACGTGTCATGTAAGAAAATTATAACTCACGAAACTGTAATATGTGTTATTATTAATTAAGATCGAAACATGTGTAAATATAATAATATATAACTTTTTAGTTATTTACTTTAAAAAATAAAAAATGAAATATATTTTTTTTAATAGAAATCACCAAATATAAAAGTAAAGTAAGTAAAAGAATAAAAACTACCATGAAAATTATGTATTTAGAACCTTAATATTTATTTGGAGAGATTATTTATCAGATTTTTGAATAATATGAATCAATTTTTAATTTCTAAACATATGTGAATGGTTTAACGTAATTCTAATTACTAGGTGGACACCTAGCGCATGCATAAAGTTTATAACATTTATTAATGAAATATTTTTTATTTATGGTAGAAATTTGAAATTGTAATAATCTATTAAAATTTTAAATGATTAATTTGTACATAATTATTATTAGAAAGGTACATTTAAAATTTCATAATAGATTAAAAGGAAAAATGATAATCAACTACACAAATTACACCTTATCATATGACTACACATATAGACTAGATTTATATATCTCTAACTACACGAACGATATGATATACATGACAACATGTATCAATTAACAAAAATTATATGATTAACATTGTAACCTTTTTGAGAATTGATGAAACAGTGTACTGGAAGAAAGACTCCAGCACTGTGTAAATTTATGTATCAAGAACTATACGTTTGTGCAGCCTTTTATTATTGATTATTGATATATTTATAAAATAATTCGTAATAGTACTTTTTAATTAAAAAGAATGATTATCATGTTTCCAAGATGCACTTATTCTCTCTCTCTTTCTCTCATGAACGCAACAAATTGAACCACATACTATATTTTGATCCAATTTAAACTTAACATTCATTATCTTCCTCTCATTTTCCCTTTTTCTAGTGAGTTTTGGTGTCTTCTTTCTGGTTTGAGCATTAGGAAAATGTTTGGGAGAACTACACCCATTCGTCCTCTCAATAATTGCAACATATTATTATTTTAGGGTAGCAAACTTCACTTCTCAAACCATCTTCAACCATACTCTAAATTTTACTCCAAAATAGAGTTTGAAGCAAAAATTTCTCTAATCGTACTCCATATCTCACTCTAAAATAGAGTAAAAATGGAGTTACTCCAAATATGGAGCACAAATAGAGTTACTCCAAATATGGAGCAAAAATAGAGTTACTCTATTTTTGGGTCATAACTCTATTTTTGAAAAATAAATGGAGTAGGGTTGGAGTAAAACACAACTCCATTTTGAAATTACTCTAAAATAGAGTAAAATATGGAGCTATACGTTAAAGATGCCTTCATAAAATGCATTCTTACATACTCCTCAAAAGTTCAAATAAACTTTTAAAATTAACAAATGAGTTGATAATATCCCATAATTTTAAAATATGAGCTCATGATGTGTTATGATTTAGATCCGAAAAATTGTTTCTCGGATTTAGCACCAAATTCAACTCCGGGTATCCTAAAATTTTATGGTTTACTTTCCATATATGTCTACTCATTTAGATAAAGTACATTAATTCAACAACAATAACATATCAATATATAAGATATCTTTATAAAAATGTGTTTTCAAATTCTAGTTGAAACTATTGTATTAATAGTTGTTAGTTATCATGAGAATTAAAATGTAATAACACCAATATAATAATATAACATATAAAAAATTTAAAATTAACAAAAAATGATGATGTGTCACAAATTTAGACTCTGAAAAGATGATGTGGTTTCATAAGAAGAGAGTTTATTCTACTTTATATATATATAAACATAGATGATATAGCTTTGCGCGGAATTATTGATTGTGTTTACTAGCATATTTAAAAGATAATTTGATGATATCATATTTGTTCATTGGATTGGATTATGTATTCTTAATTTTTTTTAGAAATACTCAATTTTAATATTTATAGTGTTAGAATGATTTTATATCTAATTATATATATACAACATTTAATAAAACTTCAAATCAAATTTAGTTTAAAATATAAATATATTTATATTTATGTAAGTTTATTATTTCTAAATACACCAAATATCTCGATTCTCTAATATGTTTCTGATATACTCTTTCTTTCTCTCTTTCTCCCTTTCTCTCTCTCTCTCTCTCTCTCTCTCTCTCTTTCTCTCTTTCTCTCTCTCTCTCTCTCCCTCTGCCTCTCTCTCTCTCTCCCTCTCTCTCTCTCTCATCAATGCGACACGTTGAGCCACATACAACATATTGGACCGATTTAAATTTTTATCTTCCTCAGGTTTTTCTCTTTTCTGACCATTTCTAATGTCACTTCTCCAACTTGAGCTCTGTATAATGTTTTGGGAGGACTTCACCTATAAGATTAGGTATAACATATTAACATTTTGGGATACCACAATTTGTTTTACATTATATGCATTATCACATATCCATTAAAAGATCAGAGTTTTCATCTGAGCTTCTTGAAACTTGCGCGAATAAATAAACCAAAATAAATAATTTAATTACAATTATACTAGTTATTATAAATTTTTTAATAATTATCTATAATCTGTAATTTGCACCGCTTTATTCTTATTCACCATTCAAATACCGCAAACTGGTTTTTCACCAATCAAACATTATTTTGTATCGTTTATTATACACTAACCGCACTTGTCCCACAAATTTTCCCGCACATACCGAAGTTGAATTATACCATACTTTTAAACTGTTTTCTCGCACAGCCAAAAATATTGTCACCATTCGGACCCTAAGGACTTGAATGGTGACATACAGCGGTGCGGTTTTTTTTAGTAAAATTACTAATTCTACTTATTTGTCACCATTCAACAATTTTTAACAATCTGTACTGCATTTCTGTTTTTTTAAATTAAAATATTAACATAACATATCAGTTTTTTGTGAAGAGAAAATAAAATACGCATTGCACGGTAATTATACACCAGTTTTGGTGTGTTTTGGTGTATTTAATGTGTTTTTAATTAAAAATATTAATTTTAATTTTTAAAACATCTAACAATATTAATTTACACAGTTTATTACTTTATTAATTTCAACAATCAAACATTATTTTTTACCGCTTATTTAGTGCTAACTGCACTTATCCTGCAACTACATTTTTCCCGTGCATACCACTGTTAAACTGTACCACACTTTTAAATTATTTATCCCGTACAACCAAATACGTGTCAACATTCAGACTCAAAATTTCCCTCACCGACATATACAGAATCACACTAAATTTTACAAAATCTATATAAAACTACGAACCAAAGTAAGATATCTGAATTTATCTGAATTTGAATAAAAATTTCAGTTACTTTGGTTTGAAATTTAAAACCTCAACTAAGTGTTAAATAAACCAAACAATATTTTACTACGGTTAGTTTTGGAATTCTGTTGAAAACCTGAACTACTTAAAGAATCAACTAACTTGATATGATCCTCTCAAGGATCGGCACTCAGAAGCTTGGTAAGAGATAGATTAGAGACAGACATTGCGGAATAGACTTCTGTTTGAAGAGATTAGATCAGGTTGATGTTCAGAGTTAATATTGATCACAAGAGAAAGAAGAGAGATGAAAAGATGCGGCAGAAGCAGTGATTCACTCTCAAGAGAAAACAAAGATAAGAGAGATTATAAAGATTCTGCACAAAGCAGTGAATCACTCTCAAAGAGACAAGAGAATTTCGTCCAGCTTTGATAAATGAAAGAGAGAGTTTTATTTGATAAAAATTTTGATGATCCAATCAAGGATGAGTTCCCATAAGAGATTACAAGCTTATCTAAAGAAAAAGATGAGTAAAACCTAGTCAAACTCGAAAATTACAAAGAAATAAATGCAATGTTTGAATAACTCTTAAACTACTCCATGCCATGCCCCTTCCACTTCTTGGTCGAAATCTTTATTGGGATTAAGTCCTTGAATCAACAATTGGGCTTTGAAAGAAGTAGACACCATTGTCTCCTTAAAAAACTTCATTTGAAAAACCCATTGGGACAAAACCAAAGGTAGAGAAAAAAGAGTACAACTGGGTCACTTACCCAATTGTTTTGAACACAAAGGAATACTTGTCGGTGGAGTCATCATGAGTCACTTGTCTATCATAATGCCATGGCCTTCCCAACAGAATGTGACTGGCCTCCATAGGTAGAACATCACACATAATAAAGGGTTAGAGAAACCGTTACTTGGCTGTTCACTCGCATTTCATCTTTATCATTGAGCCAGTGCAGATTGTATGGCTTGGGATGCTTCTTCATGGTCAATCCAAGCTTATTGACCATGTATTCACTTGCTACATTGGTGCAGCTTCCTCCATCGATGATGAGATTGCACACTTTGCCTTGCACATGACATCTTGGGTGAAACAGGTTCTGTCTTTGGGCTTCCTCTTCTGCCTTAGTTTGCACGTTTAGTATCGTTTTCATCATCAAAAGATCTCCTGTAGAAGCATACTCCTCATGCTCTTCCACTGAATCCGAGATCTCTTTTTCATCTGTCGATTCGTACTCACCATTGTCTAAGAGAATCAGAACTCTCTTGTAAGGAAATTCACTAGCAATGTGTCCTCTTCCTTGACACTTGAAGCAGACTATCTCACGAGCTCTAGTAGTTGATGCTTCAGTTTTGACCCTGACGTCTGGTTTAGAAGAGAATGATTTAGCAGACACCACAGGCTCAGCACTTGGTTTTTCTTCTTTGACAAAGCTTGTTCTAGCTGTAGATGAACCACCTCCAAAAGTTGATCGAGATCCTCTCCGCTTGAGCTGTTGTTTGACCATAATTGCTTTATGATATATCTCTTCTAGATCAGCATAGCTTTGCATCTCCACTCTGTCTTGAACTTCTCGATTTAGCCCACTCAAGAACCTAGCAATGGTTGCTTCTTCATCTTCTTCAATACCAGCCTTGATCATCAGAGATTCCATTTCTTGAAAATAATCTTCCACACTACTAATTCCTTGAGTGAAACGCCTAAGTCTCTGGTATAGCCCTGTGATAGTGACTAGGGACAAATCATTTCCTCATCACTGCTTTTAACTCATCCCAAGTATCAACAGGCGGCTCTCTATTGCGTTTGCGGCTTGTGATGATCTGATCCCACCAGTTTATAGCATAGCCATAAAACTCTGTAGCAGCTAGCTTCACCATCTTGAGATCTGAATACTCTTGACAATCATAGATCATCTCGATCTTCTTTTCCCATTCCAGATAAGAGTCTGGATCATTCTTGCCATGAAAAGGAGGAACTTTCAGCTTCATGCCTCTCATGTCATCATCAACAAATTCCCTTGTTCCTCTTCTACGTCTTGGACTGCCTTGTGAAGAAGTATCATCACCACCATCATTTCTAGGCTGTCTCTGCTGGACACGATCTCCATTGGCATTTCTTTCTTGAACTCCCCTTGGATTAGGCTCTCCTTGTAGTTGATCAATTCGTTGATGTAGTTCTTCTGCTTGTGTTTTCATCAGTTGCTCCAAACGAGCCATCATTGCTTTCATAAAGAGTTTGTTGCTGTTGTCTCCTTGCTCTTCACTCATTGTGACCTGAAAAACAAAGCACAAAACAAAACCAGTAACTAGTTCTCACAGTAGGTCAAAATGCAAAAGTGACTCTTTGTGTGCCACAAAAAATCAAAAACCCTAGAATATGATCGGTTTATTTTTAAACAAACACAGATATGACCAATGATGAGATCTGATGATAGAAGCTGAAGAGTCAAACTATTATGAGCAGATCGAAACTAAACAAACAACAAAATCTGAGAGACAAACTAATATGAGCCGATGTGATGCAGAGAAGATGAAAAGACAAAAAAAAAAACAGGGATGAAAAATGTGATGTAGTGGCAAACAAACACTAGATTTAGAGGTTTATGATGCAAACTAAACATATCTAAAATGATTTTTATGGGTTTTCTTTTTTCTGCAGAGAACTAAAACAAAAATAGAAGATGAACAGATGCAGAAACGAAATTAAGAAGATGAAAAGATAAGAAATGATAGAGACTACCGAAGAAGCTTCTACGTGTGTTCTGATACCACTTGATGTGATCCTCCCAAAGATCGGCACTCAGAAGCTTGGTAAGAGATAGATTAGAGACTGAAGTTGCAGAATAGACTTCTGTTTGAAGAGATTAGATCAGGTTGATGTTCAGAGTTAATTTTGATCACAAGAGAAAGAAGAGAGATGAAAAGATGCTGCAGAAGCAGCGATTCACTCTCAAGAGAAAACAAAGATAAAGGAGATTATAAAGATCCTATTCATTCCGTGGTCCTTCCAAAGTTTTATGGCGCACTGTTTGCAGGTTCGTACGAATCGATTTTCTCATCTCCAATTGCTGATTTTAGTGAAAAATTTGGAATGTGGAGGTTTTTTTATTGTCTGTTGGAATTAGGAAATGTAAGAATCATTATGATTAGAAAATGCCAATGCGTTTTTCTGTGTAGTTCATTTGTTTAATCAAATTACGGATTTTTTTTTTCATTGTGGTGCCTGATTCATTTGTACTTATGTATTTATTTGTGCATAAGATGTTTGGCAACTCAATTGTGCAATACTTTTGTGTGTTTTTACACAATTTTAGTGGAGAAATTTTTACCTTTTAGAAATAGAAAACGTCCCTTTAATCAATCACTAAGATTAGTTTAGAATAAATGATTCAAAGAATATGATCTGATTAAAGGTCGCTTAGTCTGCTAATGAATTACGTCCATGTGCAAGAGAAAATAAGAAATTACATGATTAAAAAGGAAGAAGAAAAAAGCTGCTAGTAAAATGATGCACAAATACATGACGTTGTTGACGATTATCATGGAGAGCATGAGATGAGCCGAAGCAGAATGTGCAGCGTAAAAAGCGAAAATTCAGAGTTCCATTTGAGACAGGTTTGCACATGCTAATTTAGTTGGAGGCCTAAATTTATAAGCAGGAAAAAAAAAATTTGTAGGGGGTAATTTTTTTTATCACTAAATTAAAAATAATTTGAATAAATTTACCTAAATATTTTAAAATAAAATACAAAAAGAGTAGGAGGCACATGACCCATTACTCCTTTACTACTTTCGCCCCTATTTTTAGAGCTTGTGATAAATAGTTAACAGAAAAGATTTATATTAATCGATAGAAGGAAGAAGAAGAGGAGATTAGAGAAAATCTCTAAGTCATTCCCGATTTATATTAATTCCCGATTAATAATGGAATATATGTTCGGGATTCCGTCGAGAATTCATTAAAAAATTTCTTTAATTTTATGTGGTAAGTTTGGCGGTCTAATTTCCAATCGAGTTCCAATGAAAATGAAATTTTTCATTATTTTGTCTGCTGTCAATACGTATGTACACGTGTAAAAATTTATAAGTTCCGTTGGAAATCGGTCAAAATTTCTGACAGATTTCTAACGAACTACGTAACTTTCAAGATTGCATAGGATAACGGGTATCTTTTTTCTAAATTCCGGATACCACCTATTGTAAGTGATCTCGTGCACAGATCTCGGAAGAACGTACTGGACAGAAAAATACTTAAAATAATTATTATATATATACATATATAATCAATTAATTATAAATATATAATTTAGTAGTAACTAAACTTACCTGCGATAGTTCCATGAATGTTTTTAGGTAGAAGACCGGAAAACGCAAATGGAAGGAGGTATTGCATAAAAACATGGTAATCATGACTCTTTATCCCACACAACTTATCTTCTCCACTATCAACGCAATTACGCAGGTTAGATGCATATCCACCAAGGAATTTGACACTTTCCTTAATCCAGTCGAAGAATTCTTCTTTTGAAAGGGCATCTAATCGGAAAGTTGGAGGCAATGATTTCCCGTTTGCCATTACGTGCAGGTCTTTACGGGAACAAATATTCGGTAAGTCTAATCTTGACTTCAGATTATCTTTGGTCTTCCCTTGAACATTAAATACAGTATTCATGATGTTGTCGAAAACATTTTTCTCACTGTGCATCACATCATAATTATGCCGAAGTAGATGGTCCTTCCAATATGGCAAATCAAAGAAAATACTCTTCTTGTTCCAATTGTGGTACTCTCCACACCCTTGAATAGGAACATGGCCATTCCCACCCCATGAAACCATCTTGTCAGCACCAAAATCTCATAACTGTTGGATTATATCTAAACCTGTAGGCTCTGGAAATGGAGCATCATAATTTTTTTTATTCTTCCTAAACAATGTCGTGCTCTTTTGATATGGATGATCGGGGGGTAGAAATCGTCGATGACAATTGAACCAAGAAGTCTTTCGTCTGTGTCGTAATTGGAATGCAGCAGTGTTATCTTGACAGTACCGACATGCTTATCTTCCGTGAGTGGACCATCCAAATAGCATACCATATGCCAGAAAATTACTTATCGTCCACATAAGTACCGCTCGCATTACAAAATTCTGTTGTAGAGAAACATCGAACGCTTCAACGCCATATTTCCATAACAGCTTCAACTCATAAATTAGTGGCTGCAAGAAAATATCAAGAGATCTCTTGGGGTGCCCTGGTCCAGGACAAGTATCGTGAGGAATAAAAACTCTTGTTTCATGCAGAAACTAGGTGGCAAACTATAAGGTGTGATAACTACTGGCCATAAAGAATATTGCCACCCATGCTTACCTAAAGGGTTGAATCTATCCATAGATAACCTAAGGTAGACGTTTCTTGGCTCAGACGCAAAACTAGGATAGAGCTCTTGAAATGTTTCCACGTTTTTGCATCTAAAGGATGCACAATCTCTCCATATGAGTTGTGTTGTGCATACCATCTCATTGAACTGCTGTTCGCTCGGATTGATAGAACCTTTTTCAACCTCTCCTTTAATGGCAAATACCACATCTTTTTATCTGAAACATGTACTCTTCCACTTGATTCCTGATACTGAGGTTTGTGACAATATTTGCACTTCAAACGATTTTTTTCGTTCCTCCAGTTTATCATATAATTGTTGATGCAGACATCTATTATTTCATATAGTAATCCAAGCCCGCCTACAAGTTTCTGAATCTCTCAATATGAAGCCGGTGAGATAGTATCTTCAGGTAAAATCAGCTATCGCATCCACGTAATCTTCGGCCAAATTAAAATCCGTTTTTATAGTCATCAACATGCTTGCGGTTGATAAAGGCGACATACCTTCTCTACATCTTCCATACAAAGGTTGCTTAGCTACCTAGCATATCAAAAAACTTTTGGGCTTCTAAATTAGGTTCTTCTATTCTATAACCATCCTGAATATATGATGCTATGTTTTCTTGAAACACATCATTCACCATCTGAACAGTACTACCTAGGTTTGCATCATTCACCATCTGAACTTCTGGTGTTGGTTTTTCTATCGCACCAGAAGCACTGCTATAATAATGTACCATTGAATCAGTTTCTCCGTACGTATACCAAATCTTGCATTCCGGAATAAACACATTCCTATACAAGTGATTCCATAGTCCCCTAACAGAGCCTAGTATGTTATTCCACATTTAAGACAAGGACAATGGATTTTATTATTTCTAAGTCTCTCACTATTCTTTGTCGCAAGGGTAATAAATTCTTGAACACCACTTGCATACTCATCGGTTTGTTTTCCAGAATTCGGATCAAGACGGAGTTTATCCATCCATGATCAAAAGTAATTATAGGTGTTTGAGTTTATTGGGGATAAATTCAATCCTTCTTACGTGGACCAATCACGTGCTAGCACATGGCGTCCATGGTTTTTTTTGCAGGTACGGCCCCCCTGGGCCAAATTAGGACTTGTATTGGGCCTCCGGCCCAATACGGCCTAATCTTATAGCACCAGGCCTCGAATCTAGTTGGATTCAGGAGATCCGGTATGATAGGCCACCTGTTCTCGGATTTCTCGTGTCTGACAGAAACAAGGAAGTTGAAAACTGAGTGGTCAAGAGGAGGAAATGTCACATTCTCTATGTGCTAAGCTCGTTGATCCGGAAGGGTCGGGACATAAAGAAGAGTGGTCCGTACAGGTACCTGGAGAGCAAGGCCTTCTAGCATCGAAGGATCCGAACCTGGTATGAACAATCCATTCAAGCAGGAAAACTATTCGAATTTCACTCCCTTTGACAATAAGTCTGATATGATTGCCCATACTCTTACAAACCCACGAGAATGACATTGAATTTGTTTTTTCTTACGCATGTCAGGTGATAGGAACATCTCGCAGGAGTCAGGGGAAAAGCAGAGGTTCAGCGAAGAACCATACCGCATCTGAGCCAACCCAAACACCCAGAGCAAAAGGGATGCGCCAAGGGGCGGCCTCGTTGCAGGAAAAAACACGCAAAAAATAGTTGGTGAAACCATCAAAAGTGTGACGCCATCATAAGATTCGAATCCAGACAAATCAGGTCATGGGCCGACCCACCCGATCCACCATCCATGGTCCAACCCGGTATACTCCGGGTCAGGTAATTCCCTATAAATATTCTATCCTTCCCTACGGGGAAGGGGTTCACATTTTTCAGCCATCTCAAGTCTCACAATATTTCTCTAGATATTTGTGGTCCTTGAGCTCAGGCATTTTACACAATTTCGACTATCTTTCCGGTCATCTCACTTCATCTCTCCTCCACAGCGGTTCATAAACCGTGGAGCTCCATCATCTTCAAATTCTTCTTTTTCTCTCTTTTCACCGCAAAAAGTCAATTCTCACTCTGAGGCCCGAGTAGATCCTACCTTTCTCAAAGACTTTCTGCCCACCTTTCTTCTTAGTTTTTTTTCTGACTTTTTTCGGCTCTCCGAACAGCTATATTGTGTTCTTTTGATCTGTTTTCTGACATGAGCGTTGGAGTGCCCTCGGAAGACACACCCCCATCGTGTTTTCTGGTCCCTGACGTCTTTTCTGTTTTGCAGGAGATATGCCTTCTAGTGAAGGAATGAAAAACCCCTAAAAATTTGGCGCTAGAAGGAGAGGGGCAACACTCTCAAAGGCAAAAAAGATCTACTTATTCCAAATTCAGAAATCTGCCATAAAACTCAGATACGGGGGGCAACAACCCGGGGACACAAGCAGGTGTGGTCATCAACGGAGAATTAGGTGCAACTGAGCCAAGAAACCTGAGACAGGCAAGGCCAGAAAAGCGTTGGAAAGAAAGGAAAAAGCGCACAAGGGAGTATGCAAAAAGAAACATGCCAACACATCCGATAAACTCCGGATTTACAAGAAAAGTCGAAAAGGTCCAAACAACAACAACATAACAAAAGGAAAGAGGAAGCTGGAAATAACGGTGCTGCCTCTTGGGGACCCTTGAATTCTTGCTTCTTGGTCGTGGTTAGGAGCACTCTGACTGTTGTGAAGGCTCCACCAAATGACCTCAAGGTAGACACGCAAAGCTGAAAGACGAGACTCCTCCATGGTGATTGTCATAACAACATAAGCTTCTTCATAAAGAAGACCATGACGGGTGGCAGAGAGAGCGTGCAAATCCAGCTGGGAAGTGAACCTCCTTACCGGTGGGATTCCACCTCCGTCCCGAGAAACAGTATCCCCTCTCTCATCAGGAATCGAGGGAGTCTGTGACAGACATGGGGAAATAATTAACACACCATCGCAAAGGAATCAAAACAAGAAGACAGTCCACACCAGCCAGAAACCAAGGGATACACTCACACGAAGAGGCGCAAGAAGAGTTAGGCTCAAAGCGGTTGGCCGAGAACCTCCGTCAGAAACCCCGAATCCAAAATAGGGGCATCCGGGAATGGATCAGCAGACAAGTAGCAAATGTCGTACCTGAGACAGGCTTCCATTAAAGCACTTGGAGATTCTGAAGAAGGATGAGAAAGAGAAATGGGTCTCAGCAAAAGAATGACCAAGAGGACAGAAGGGATAACCCGAAGAAATAAGTGGTGTTACCTGGAGGCATGAAGCGTGACCTGGGAGACGAGTTGAGGGAAGTGTTGTCGATGATGTGTGGGTGAAGAAGAAAGACTGAATCCCTCAGATTCTCATCCAACCCGAATAGAGTGTTTGGAAAAGCCACAGTGGAGCCTCAAACCACCGAGGAAAACCTGTGAACGCTCTCGGTCAGCTAGTGCCATGGAAGAGATAGCAACGGCACGAAATAAAAAATATATAGAATGGAACCTTACCGGTGGGCGCCTAGTCGGACCTGACCACCCCTACGCCAGCGTACGCCACATAGATAAAGCTGCTAAAGTCGGGACGGTCGTCCATCCATTCCGGAGGGCCAATGGGTGAAAGCGCACCCACGCAAAGGTACAAGTCGTATCTCTGGAGGTCATCGTCCCAACGGATCGGGTAGAAAGCGTGCAGAATCATCTCTACAGAGATAAAAATTCCAGAGAGGTCAGACAGGACTTGGAAGACATGAATCAGGCCCCAAGAGTACAAGCCGAGTTGGCTTGGAGCGATGGACAACAGTCAGCATACGTCGATCATGAGCCAGGCCAAGTTCGCCCTGAAGCCGACCGAAATAAATGACCGAAAAATGGTCATGAACCCCGGCAGAGGGCGAGCCGGACCCCTTCGGACCCCCAAGACAGTGTGATCGTGTCTTCATGAAGCACCGAATCACCAGCATATCGATAGCGAAAGGGAGTGTCATCGCGAGAATAGTCGCTAGACGAAGACATTGTCATAAGGGAAACAAGAGGCAAAGCAAGAGGATTCAGAGAAAAAAATTGTTCAGAGTTGCGAGAGATAAAACAGGGGAAGACAAAAGAAACCCCTCATAGATAAAGGAAACCGCTGCAAAAGGAGCCGCGAGAATAACCATAGAAGTGGTCCATGTGAATAAAGGCGAAGAAGAAGGAAAGATGAAGTGTTCGGAAAGCGACTCGCAAAAGAGGAGAGTTTCAAATCTATCATCCCAACCAGACACGTATCAGAAAGGTCGGCGGAAAACGAGAAGGTAAAGCGCAACGAAAAGACGTGGAACGGACAACGAGGCAATAGCCAGTGAGAGTCTTGCCACACGTAGAAGGTCAAAGGATGGGAGAAATACCTATCTGGAGAAGGGAAAGTGGTCACCTCAAACTCAGGGGGCGAGAGAAAAGGCCCATCATGAAGTGATACGGAACGGGCCGAGGGCCCATCCATCTTTTGGCTTAATCGACGAATGAACCGCGTTCGAGAAGGAGTAAATTGACCGAAATACGGTGAGGAAACCCCAGAGAGCCAAGAAGTGTAGGAGGCCCGAGGAGGTCCAACCCAGACGAGACCCGACAAAATATTTTTCCATGAAGGAAGGACCCGTTGAATAGTCCAGGATCTGAGGAAAAGAGAAGCCCTCAGGAGGAGAAAAACGAAGAAGGCGAAGCCGAGATAAGAGACGAGAACCCAGTGTCGATGAGAGAAACAATGAGGAGAAAGAAGAAGAAATAAGGGAGAAGAATTAGTCAGAGAAATGAAAGAATAAATTCTCCTAAAAGATCCTCTCACCACCAAACGTTTATCCCGACTCTCTTGAAGAAACATGTTACGTCATTTGGGGTGTTTATCCCGACGAAGCAAGCGCAGTAGAGAGTTAGCCTGCCCGTTGATGTCGTGTCCCCGGAATGGTATCCCTTAATCGGACCATCCGGGAGCATACTGCTCTGCGGACAGTATGACTGTCCACTGAGAACCTTGTCGGAATTGCATTTTGCAGCGTAAGTCTGGATCACTTTATGGATCGGACTGTTAGTTCAGTATATTTTCGCGGTGCAGGGCTCTCCCTTAGAGAACCAGATCTCTCTAAGGGAACGGCCGCGAGATATATTGGGCTGGCAGGACAGCACCCCCTCTAGGATCTGACCGATGGCCAGGCATTGTGCCCTTCACGTTACAAGCCCACGACTCCACGTCACTTCGCCCACGGCAGGTGACTCAAGCATTGTGTCATTCATGATCTACGGTCCCAGGTCATTTCACCCACGGTGTGTGACTCAGGCATCACGTCTTTCATTTTAGGCTCACGGCCTAAGGTCATGTTGCTCACGGCGGATGATTCAGGCATTAGGTCCTCCATCAAAAAGGCGTCACGCGCCTCAGGTCAAAAGGATGACTCAGGCAACGCGTCCTTCATCGAAAAAGCAAAACGCGGTTCAGGCGGATGTCCACTCAGGTACGGCTAGTGAGGGGGAAAATCGTTTGTTCCCGGCAAAGATAACTTCCACATCACAGGTTAGCTTTGCTAAACCGCAAAGTGGAGAGCAAATTCATAGGCTAGCACGTGGCGTCCATAGCTTTTTTGCAGGTACGATCCCTCTGGGCCAAATTAGAACTTGTATTGGGCCTCTGGCCTATAGTACTGGACCTCGAATCCAGTTGGATTTAGAAGATCCGGCATGATAGGCCACCTATTCCCGGATTCTTTGTGTCTGACTGCGCAGGCCACACTGCCAAAACAAGAAAGTCGGAAACTGAGTGGTCAGGAGGAGGAGAATTCTCTATATCCTAGACCTAAGCTTGGTGATCCGGAAGGGTCAGGACATAAGAAAGAATGGCCCGCACAGGCACCCGAAGAGCAAGGCCTTCCAGCTGCAGTAGCCGGCTCTAGTATATAGGGATCCAGGCCAGGTATGAACAATCCATTCAAGCGGGAAAACTATTTGAATTTCCTTCCCTTCGACAATAGGAATATCTGATTTGATTGCCCATACTCTTATAAACCCACAAGAGTGGCATTTAATGTGTTTTCCTTACGCGTGTCAGGTGATAGAGACATCTCGCAGGAAGAGGAGGAAAAGCAAGTTCAACGAAGAACCATACCGCATCTGAGCCGCCGACCCAACCCGTACACTGAGACCGAAAGGGATGCGCCAAGGGGTGGTCTCTTTGTAGGCAGCACACGCCAAAGATAGTTGGTGAGACCCATCAGAAGTGTGACGCCATCATAAGATTCAAGCCCAGTCAAGTCGGGTCATGTGCCGACCCACCCGATCCACCATCCATGCTCCAATCTGGTATACAAATCCGGGTCAGGTAATTCCTTATAAATATTCTATCTTTCCCTATGGGGAAGGGGTTTACATTTTTCAGCCATCTCAAGTCTCAAGATATCTCACTAGATACTTGTGGTCCTTGAGCTCAGGCTATTACACAATTTCGACCATCTTTCCGGTCATCTCACTTCATCTCTTCCTCCATGGTGGTTCTTAAACTGTGGAGCTCCATCACCTTCAAATTCTTCTTTTTCTCTCTTTTCACTTCAAAAATTCCATTCTCACTCCAAGGCCCGAGTAGATCCTACCTTTCTCAAAGACTCTCGGTCCACCTTCCTTCTTTGAGTTTTTTGACTTCTTTCCGCTCTCCGAACAGCTATATTGTGGTCTTTTTGAGCTGTTTTCTGACTTGAGCATTGGAGTGCCCTCGGAAAACACACCCCCATCGTATTATCTGGGTCCTAGCGTCTTTTCTATTTTGTAGGAAACTTGCCCTCCAGTGGAGGACTGAAAAACCTCTAAACAGAAGGCGAAGAATAAGGGACGACAAGGAAATCATAAGAGATCTGGGAAAGCATATGGGAAAACAGTACCGGGAGGAACAAAAGGAGACTCAGGAGAGGAGTTGAGCGAGGTGTCATCAACCACGCAGGGGTGCAGCAGAAACGCCGAATCCCTCAACTCCTCGTCTAAATCAAAGAGAGCCTTTGGGAATGGGGCGACAAAATCGACATGCTCGGGTGTGTTTTCCGAAGGCAATTCGACGCTCAAATCAGAAAAAAGCTCAAAAAGACTACAATATAGCTGTTCGGAAAGCGGAAAGAAGTCGGAAAACTCTACAAAGGAAGGCGGGCTGGTAATAAATTCTTGAACACCACTTCCATACTCATGGGTTAGTTTTCCCGATGTCGGATCAAGACGGGGTTTATCCATCCATGATCAAAAACAATTATAGGGGCTTGGGTTCTAAGAAGACTTGTTCTTTCACCTTTGTTTTGTATGTTTTGGATGAAAATGAGGAAGAATTTATAGAAAAACCTGATTTTCGACCGAATTTCAAACGGCTATAAACAGCTAATTCAACGGGTACATTGATAACAGATCTATTAAATCCGTCGGAAATCTGTCAGAATATTTAAAATACTTCCAATGGATTTCCGACAGATTTAGTAAAAATATTAAGAATTAAATACGTATAATATTTCCGACGGATTTTTGATGGAACTAATAAAAATGTCTGCGGAAATATGAGTTTTCAAACGTATAAAAATGTATATTATTTCCGTTGGAACTTTATGATTGATTTCTGACGGAATTAATAAAAATGTTAAAATTAAATATGTTATATCCGACAGAATTAATAAAAATGTTAAAATAAATCTGTATAGTATTTCCGTCAGAAATTTCTGACGGATTTCCAACGACAGCTTAAAAACCGACAATTTTAAAGACCATCAGAAAACGGTCAGAAATTTTGACCGATTTCCAACAAATATCAAATTGTCTGTATTTTTGAGATTCTCTTCGGTATTCCATCAGAAAATTTCCGACGGCCTTTTTTACCGTCGGAAATTCTTTAGTGTTTTTTGTTGTGCTGATGTAAGTTGCGAGGAAGTTGAGAAGTGATGAAATGTTTGTAGGCTACATAACCAACTTTCCTATGCAATCATATAAACCTTTCTCCACTTCCTTGAAACTTACATCATCATGAAATGTAAACGGGATTGTCGATTAGAATATAACCGGATTCATGCAATGGTCGAAGCTCGATATTCCATTTTTACATCAATGATCTCAAATAACTTTTTGTATTTATCTTGTCTCATGTTGAAACTCTTTGAGATTGCTCTCTTAGCCCTATCCATGGCTATATAATTGTATCGCATATGAGGTTTTATCTCTCCATCACCTAGCTCTAGCACTTTTACAAGAGGACCCATTAACTTAAGAGCATAAGTAACACTCCTTCAAAAATTCTCTTCCATAAGATATCATCTCACTTTATTTCCTCATGCTTCCTTTGGACATTTAGACACATTTCTTTTTCATTAATTAATTGCTCATGCTTCCTTTGGTCATTTAGACACATTTCTTTTTCATTGATTTAACCAGCTACATCAAGTTCTCATGTTTTTTTTTTTAAAACTGTGAAAGAGTTATGTAATTAAGCAGGAGCTGCTTCGTTACAGCTCGGATCGATGGCTAAACTTGTAACAGACGTCGTCATCTTAGTCTTCAAAGCTAACGAGCTGGGGGGCTAACTGTTGGGGTCGGTTTCCACCCCTAACAAATTTATCCACCTCTAAAAAGACTAAGTGTTTGAGATATTATGTCTAGCTATGTTTGATCCGAGCTTGGCTCCTTTTTTGATGGGCCGAGCCCTGTTGAGGTGTAAGTTGGGCCGAGCCGCGAGAAAGAGCAAGTGGGCCGAGCCCTGTTGAGGTGCGAGTTTGGCCGAGCCGCGAGAAATAGCAAGTGGGCCGAGCCCTGTTGAGGTGTGAGTTGGGCCGAGCTGCAGGAAAGTGCAAGTGGGCCGAGCTGAAAAGGAAATGGAGGCGAGCTGCATCGCAAGACGTGTGGGCCGAACTGATTGATGTTCGATGGCTAGCAGGCCTAGCCGTGTAGGATGAAGCCCGTGCAAAAACCCTAGGCAAAATGTTAAGGCGACGGCCGCGCGAGGCGATAAGGAAATATTCCGGAAATCTTTCACGAGATTCTCGGCTAGACAGTTCATAGACTTTGTATAAATAGTGGACACACAATTCATTATGTAACTGGGACCAATTCGAGAGCAATAAGACTTAAACACTTTTCCAGCAAAAATCTTCTTTGGATCTTACTGTTCTTGCGATAAACCCTAGAAATTTCGGATCCCTTAAGTTTTCCTTAACAAATTTTTGGTTGTGCGAGTTTCGGCTCACACAAAAACATTCATGAAGATGGACATCTTCAATGGATTCTTCACCGGTAGGAGTTCTCCAATGCACTCTAACATTAGTTCAATGCAATATGCAGCACATAATAAAGTTGTGTTTTTATAGCCTCTAGTAATGTTTCTTAAATTTTCTTAATTTCACGAGAAAATAAAAATTTGTTTTATACTTTTCTTATCATTGGGAAAGTATGAGAAGAGTAGATATCTGTATATCTTACCAGCTTTTATATATAGTTAGATGCATTGTCTGTGACAACTTGGACAACATTTGCTTCTACAATTTTTACAACCATATCATCAAGCAATTGAAAACAAATTTGCGTCTTTCACAACTTTTGAAATATCTTTGATTTGATGAAAACAAACCCCTTAGAGAGTAAACATGAAAGTTCACAATATCCTTCTTAACAAAATCATGCCATCCATCTGACAAAATTGAGCAGCCTTTAGACGCCCACTCTTTGTTGTGTTACACCATTTGGGTTTTGTGAAATGGAATTTATGTTTTGTGGTAACTGGTAACAAATTGATTTAACCCATGAATAGTTTGTTCTTATGTATTCTTTGTGTTTGTAAAAGAATAGGTGTTCAGCTGTGTAATTTTGTATTGTAAATGGAAATGTAACATTCAGATGGAGTCAATTTGACCCACTTAAGTTTTTTGAAGTTGAGTATTTGTGTTGTTGCCTGATTCATTTACTCTTATGATTCTCTGTGATTATAATAGAATTGACATTTCACTTGTGCAATTGTGTTTTGTATTTCCTGTGTCTGTAGGAGAAATGTAGCATGTGTACAAAAATGAAGTTTTCTCTATTAGAGTTATGTGACATTGATATTTTTGTTTTGTGGTCATAAGATGATTCCACACAAAACCAAGCGTGGTGGTACTACTCTCGCTCGCTTGAATGTCAAACGAAGGAGTCCCGCCTCCGTATGACAAGGTTAAGATAATGGTTATACTATGCTCTTAAGTATTGTGTCTGCTTTGTTCTTATGATTAATGCAGAGAGTTATCAGCTGATTTGGTGAACACATGTTTTGAGGCTACATAGTGGGCACAAGTAATGCTTGTTGGGTCGTCTATCGTCTGAGATTGGCTGGAACCATTACGATACCATTAAAGTGAGTCTATCTTTCTCTGCCTGTGATAGTGTTTGCAACTGCGATCTTCCCGAAACACCAGCTTTATTGAATCTCACTATGAAATACAAACAAGGAACAACTAAGAAAAAGGATAAGAGAATTCTAAGCTATGATCTCATGTTGATCACAACAAAGAACTCTTGATCATGATCTTATATCGATCTTGATCTCACAGAGACTCATCTCTTCTCACCGACTCCACAACATCAAAAGCATGAAGATGAAAAATACCAGAAACGTTCTTATATAAAGAAGATGATCAACGGCAAAGCCTCCTCCTATTGTAGTCGAGTCTTTGCCTTCCCCTGCCACGTCAGTTTTAGTCAACGACTCACTTCCTTCTTGGTCATAAGGAACGTATCAGCCTGAATATCTCGTTTGGGTTTGTTACTACTAAATTGGTACCAACTCTGTTTACTTGAAGAACCCTCAAGAGTTATGTTAATGAAGCTTTTCACTAAAACTGATCATTGGAGTTTCTTTATTCTAACAGAATCTTGAGGTGACGAGAAAGGTAAGGTCACAAGTGACGTATGATCCTAAGAAGCAACTTAACAAGCTCAGGATCAAGGCAGAGAAGCTCGCAGAAGAGAAGCTCGGATCACAGCTCTATGTATTAAGCCCATTTTATCAAAAGCTAGTCTTGATTTTGATTCTGCCACTGAAATTTTGTTTTGTGAGTGTCAAGCATAAACATCTAAAGAACCCTCTATTTTCATCGTTGTTGATTTATGTTATCTATATTTGATTTCACAAACTTCTACGTTGATATTCACAACTTAAACCGAATCTACATAATAGATTCCACAACACACATTCAACAAGAAAAGGCAAAGACTATATAACCAGAAATGCGAAACTTATGAGAAATAAGGAGAAGATGAAGAAGGTGATGATGCTGATGAATCATGATCCTTCGACATATTTTCCATTTGCTTCAACTGATCATCAGCTTCCCTCTCTTTGTGTTCAGACGCATCATCATCCTTCTTCTTAGCATCATTCTCATCCTCGATGACATGAACATCATAAACAATCTGTTCTCTATCATCAACCTCTGGATCATCTTCATCAGTGTGCTTGTAAGTCTCAAGTTCCTTCTCAAGAAAATGCTTCTCTCTCTCCCTTTTGAAAAGAATCTCCTTGAGGATATTCATCTCTTCTTCATCATATGCGAATTTCTCCTCAATCATTCTCTCGTATTGCTTACCTTCCATTTCAAGCGAAGCTTTCTCCGCTTGTAACCTTAGAATCATAGCCATAGCTTCATCAGCTGCTGATGCTGAAGCTGCTCTTTCTTCCTCCAACTCCACTATTAGAGCAGCTCTCGCTAATTTCTCTGCCTGAACAACTTCTTCAAGCAATCTAACCTTATTCATCAGTTCCAAGATCTTATCTTTATCAACCGAATTCGTCCTCTCTTCTTGTTCTTGATGATGCCGAATTCTTGTTCTAGTGGTAACGGCCATCTTCTGGATTATGAGTATGATTTCGAATGGCCAATCAATGAGAAGCTTATGGACGTTTTGGTACTCAAGAAACCCAGAACAGGGACAAGGCAGATAGACTAAGAACTTGGATGCAATTAAGACGAAAGCTGATACACACAGAAGACAATAAGCAAATGCTAATTCAAGAAAAGCAACTAATATTCCAGAAAATGTTAAACTATAATTTTCAGGGTAGTCCATTTTTTCTCTCAATCAATAGCCAGATCTTGCTTGAATCTGCAATCTCAGTATGTGAATATGAACTTAAATCTGATGATCTGTAGAGAGAAACCTAAAACCACAAAAGAAAAAAAAAATGAAAAAGGGATTAGCTTGTATACACTTGAATCAAGATTTCAATAAAACTTCGTTTCTACAATCTTTTGTGCAAATTTTTTTTTTTAGTGTGCTAGAACCAAAAAAAAAGAATTAGCATGCTTTGAATCTGAGATAGATTTTCCCAGATTTTATGAACTCATTTTCAATATTTTGTTCAGCCAAAGGAAAATTCATAATTTCCAAAACAATATTTAACCAGGAAAATGAGTAATCTTGAATCAGAAAAAAAATCCAAGATGTTGTAAAAGAACAGACAGAAACCCACACGAAATTTTTACTAGAAAGATTGATTGCGTAGTTCAGAAGAAAAATCAAGAACATCAAAGAGAAAAGAGGAGAAAAAAGAAACAAAGAAGACAAAAGTGGATAGAGATGAAGCTGAGGTCAGAGCAAAGCACCTGAAAGTAGAAAAGTCAAAAGGATGGAGAAAGAAAAAGGAGGAGCTCCGCCTTGTAGCTCCGGACAGAGAATCTTCGTTGTGTTTTTTTTTTCTTTCTTTTTTTGTCGTTGTGTTTTTTTTTTTCTTAAATTGATTAGTTACATAAAAAATAAGAAAATAAAAAGAGTCGGCATAAAAAGAGGTAAGTAAACCCCACCAAAAAAAAAGAGGTAAGTAATATTTTGTCGCTTTGCTTACAAGTTCTCCAGATAATCAAAAGGATCGATACACGTAGCAGCAGATAATCAAAAGTCTAAACCTAATACAGTATTGTGTTTTTTTTAATGTTCTTAAAAATCATCTGAAATAGGCCTCAACAAATTACTCAGAACCAAGAGAATCTTTTATATAAAAGAGGACCAACTTTCTCCAGCTGAGTGACACATCAGCATTTGAGAATTAATATGGGATGACATGTCACTTTTTATAATTTAAAGTTACAATTTCAAAAAAAATAATAAATTATTAACTTTTAATATCAAGGTTTAAACCACTCAAAGAAAATGAACAGTTTTTTCATTAATTGATTGATATTGATTGATATTTATTTTATTTTTATATAATTATCATTTATTTAATGATATTGTATTTTAAATTGATTTCTAAAATTATTTTTTGGATAAAATTTTTAAAATTATTTATAATAACATACTAACACGCATAACAAATAATAATTTTTTTATTTTTTTATTATATTGCATTTTAAATTGATTTCTAAAATTATTTTCTTTTTTGGATAAAAGTTCTAAAATTATTTATAATAACATATTAACACACATAACAAATAATAATTATATTTGTTTTTATATTTATGATATTGTATTTTAAATTAATTTTTAAAATTATTTTTTTATATAAAATTTCTAAGATTTTTTATAATAACGTACCAATACACAACAACAAATAATAATTATATTTGATTTTATATAAAATTTGATTAGTTAAAAAGAAAAATCCGCATGTTATGTGCGGATATTCACCTAGTTAAACCAAATTGAACAGAATTAAAAGAAACTCAACTAAACTGGATACAGTAGAAACTCTACTAATTAACAAGATTAGGGTCCACATTTCATAATTAAATTTTATAACTCGTGAAAAAGTTCAAAACCAAAAAAAGTAAAATCACTTACAAAACTAATCATAAAATTAAATTTCGTTAATATTTTATGTTATAAAAATAAATTAAATATGTGTCAGAATCTGATGAAATGATATAACATGTATCATAACCAAATGAATTAGCAGTTTTGAAATTTTTTATATAAAAATAAGATATTCTAAATTAATATCTCGATAATTCAATAAATTTATTTGATTTTAAATTAATTTTTTGATTTAATTTATTTTTATATGAATTAATAACTCATTAAATTAATAAAATATTTTAGTTCTAATCTATTATATAAAATTTGACACTCTTTTCATTTATTTTTTCATTTAAAAGGTTGACATGTTTTCATTTATTTTTCTTAACTTAAAAAAAAATGAAAACTAAATGACATTTCCTTTTGCTAAATAAAAAAACTTTAAAACTTCCTCTCATCAGTTCAATCCAGCGGTAAGAGCGAACAAATAGAAGTATTCGAACTAAGAGATGTCAAAGAAACTCCATCTGAAATTCGATTCCCCATAAACTGAGACCCATGTGCCATCGATAAGTATGACTTCCGTCAATTATGTAAGTGTTTCTTCTCTTAATCGCGTCGATTTGTTTTCGGCTATCCTGAAAATGTATTGAGTTTGTGATAATCGGAAATCAACTAATTGGTATTTTACTCATTTTGTTAAATTTGCGTTTGGTAGTCTCTAGGGAACAAAGCTTTGATTCAAGAGTTATTCACTTCTGTGTAATATCCCCTTGCAAACTATGTGTAATTTTTTAATCATTTTGTTCCGTACTAATTAAAAAATGGGACCGATGTTTAAATTTTTGTACAATTGAATTGTCTCTGGTGATTTTAATACAATTTGTTTATTCATGTTTCGCTTTGATCATAATTGATTGATTGGTATCAACATTTGTCGGATTTAGATGAATATCCACGCTAAGGAACCAGGGACAGAGCAAATGTATGTCCTTTCCCACGGTATTTATCTCATTGTTATGGATTTAGGTTGACACTATGACTTTAAAAAGTTTATATGTTCTTTCGTTTTCATTCTATCTACACCATCGTACAACTAAAAAAAAAAAAAAGAGAAGCATGTCAAAGTTGATACTATTTCTATATACAATGGTAAATTGCTCTGTCAGTTAGCAGAAATGATGTAGCTGTTAATGGATGTAGAAAGTGGTAAAAGAAGAGGAGGAATAGCTAAAGATGCTAAAAGAAGAATGGAGAAGAAATGCATATTTCTGTTAAGTGGTTGGTACTGTTGGAGGTAAAAATCGCATCTCCAGTTTTCTCCAGTATAAACCAAAATAATAAACCCGGTTAACGATGGAAGAGTACCAGAAGAACTGGGCCAAACAAACTCCTGGACCGATCTAGGCTCATGAACACGGAGTCAGTGGAAACTTTCTAAAAGAATAAGGAAAATTTCTGCTTTCGGCCTAAAGAAAAAGAAACTCTCTTGAGTTTCACACCTCAAAGTGAGAAAGAGATCTCGCGGAAGACCGACTTAAGATCTATATAAAAGAGAACGACACATAGAATAATCACAAGAGACAGAGAGGTTGAGAGCTAAGACATTCTAAGAATATTGATTTCAAATCCTAGTTCGTTTGTAATCTGCTTATAAACGAACTAAATTGTATTTTCCCAATCTAATTTTAATAAAACCGAACTCCGATCTAAATTACTGTTTTATTTTCTTTGTTGATTTTTACATTGTTGGGGTTGGTTTCCATCTCGACCGGTTTAACCATCTCTGAAATGATTAAGTATTCAAAAGATGATCTCCAGCCGCGTTCTGGCCGAGCCCCATCCTAACCAGAGTGAGCCGAGCCCTGTTTGGACACAAATGGGCTGAGCCCTGCCTGAATACAAGTGGGCCGAGCTGGGTTGAGGATAAGTGAGTCGCACCGTAGTGGGCTTAACCGTCACCATCTGAAGGACGAGCCGAATTGGGCCGAGCCACGTTCCAAAAGACATGGGTCAAGCTGCGAATAGAGAGGAGATGGGCCGAGCCGGTTCCTCTCTCATTGGGCCGAGCTGAGTCTTCTTTGGTGGGCCAAACCGGGTGGTAGTCGACGACTAGCAGGCCTAGCCGTGAAGGTAAAGCCCATGTAAAAACTCTAGACGAAGTGCAAAGACGGTGGTCGCGCGAGGAGTTAAAAAAAAATTCTGAGAATCTCTCTCCGGATCCTCGGCTAGGCGGTTTGTAGAACTATTATAAATAGTCGATGTATCCGATTCATTATGTAACTTTTCACAGCAATAAAAATCTTCTTTTGATCTTTGTGTTGTAATGATAAACCCTAGAAATTTCGGATCCTTCTTAGTTTCTTGCGAGTTTTGGCTCACACAATTTGGCGCTGACTGTGGGGAATTGAAATCTTCTTACTCGAAAATCGACAAGATCCTAAGATCCGAAGAGTATGGCGAGTAACACCTCTGACGACGAGAAAAAAACAATACCAACAACAACGGCACGGAAAAGGATGCTCCCCCATCAAGTACGACAACAACAACCACCGAAGCACAGGGCGAGATGTGGAACGTGCTGACCACGTTGATGAAGAAAATTGAGGAGCAGGATAAGAGGAACAAGGCGATCACGGAGCGACTCGACGCAATAACAACCGAAAGACGGCATCCGACTTGGAGAGCTAGGATATCTGATCCGATAGATGGAGTCAGGAGTCTCTTTGACTTCTCGATGCCTGCAGGAGCAACCGGTAATGGTGCGAGACATCCCATGGCTCCGCCGATGTTTCTCCCCCTTGACGAACAAACTCCAGCGGCAACCGAGTCAACATAACCGAGCTGCCCCCATTTCGTCAGAGCTCCAGACGGTTAGGCGATGAGGACGAAACCAATGTAATTGACGTGGATGCCCAGCAGAACGATGGTACCAGAGACCCGCAGCAGAACAGCTTGGCTTGGCGGATAAGTCGCGAAGAACTCGCCTCGGCATTTAATGGTATCCAAACTGGCGGAGGACCGACCCGACCCACGACAACAATCCGACTGAAGAAGAAGAGGACCTCCAATGGGTTGAGCAAGCGGAGTACGGCGACGAGACGAGGAGAAAAAATCATGACCGACCTTGCACACCTAGGAGAATGACCTGTGCTCAGACCCAAGAGATGGAAGAGCTCCGAGTCTCCATGGCTCAGACAGTTACTGAGATCGGCGCCATGAAATCCCAGGTGCACAATGCATTAAGCACCGCGCTAGAGATTGACCGAATGCTTGAAGAAATTCAAAGGACGCCATTCACGATGAGGATCAGGGATGCTAAGATTCCCATACCGGGAAAGGTCAGAATCTCTTTTTACGAAGGAACCTGCGATCCGAAAGCGCATATGACGGCTTTTCGCATAGTAATGGGACGAGCCTTCACAAGGAACGCTGCTAATCTAACCGAGCAGGAGAGAGATGCTAGTTTTTGCTTACTGTTTGTACAACACCGCAAAGGAGCCGCACTGGAGTGGTTTTCGAGGCAAAAATGAAGTTCAATTAATAGCTTCCAACAGCTCTCCGCTTTATTCCTGAAGCAGTACTTGATGTTCATGGACCGAGGAACTTCTGATGCCGATCTATGGACGCTGTCTTAAGGACCGAACGAACCGCTTCAGGACTACATGGCTAGGTTCAAGGCTGTCATATCCAAAGTAGAAGGAATAAGCGATAAATCCACCCTCACTAAAAAGCGATCTCTATGGTATAAATCCGAGTTTTGACGGGAGATGGCGCTGAATACGCCACAAATGATCCAGGATGTCCTACATCGATCGTCGGATTTTGTGGTGAACAAAGAAGAAATGAAATTTTCGGACGAGCAATATGAAGCAACGAAAGCAGCGATTGGAGCTCGATTCTGATGCGACCCGCAAGAAAAGGGAACCCCGTAAATAACTCAACACTGCAGAGCTCGAAAAAACCGAGAATCGGTGGTATCCATAATTACTGAGTAGGTACTG